TAAAAAGTCAAAGATACAAATTATGAACAACAAACATGCATCTATCAACAAGTGAATCTAAGAATCAAGTGAATAAATAATCTGGAGATCATAATAGAATCAGGGACATAGAAAGGGAATGGACTGACTATTCTTGGAGGGGAAAGGGGTGTGGGAGATACGGGAAGACTGGACAAAAATCGTGCACCTATGGATGAGGACAGTGGGTGGGGAGTGAGGGCGGAAGGTGGGGTGGGAACTGGGAGGAGGGGAGTTATGGGGGGAAAAAAGAGGAACAAATGTAATAATCTGAACAATAAAGATTTAATTAAAAAAAATTAGGAACAGTAATGGAACAATGATTTGGATTTGAATATAAACTATATTAACAATACTGCTTCAATGTTAAATTTTCTGAATTTAATAAATACAATGACTAGATACGAGAATTGCCTTGAGATACACATTAGAATACTTAGGCATGAAGGAAATGATCTTTGTGACTTCCAAGTATTTCAATAAAAACAAAATGGGAAAAAAACAAGAGATAAAAAAGATAAAGCAAATGTGGGAAAATGTTAATAATGGGTAAATCTAAATGAAGGGTCCATAGCAGTTCATTGTAATATTTGTGTAACTTTTCAATCAATTTAATTTTTCCCCAAAAATAAAATGTTTACTAAGAGAGAAAGAGTAGGTTTAGGGTTTAAAGTCCAGCTCCATCACTTACTAATTGTAAAGCCTTGGGAAATTATGTAACCATCAGTTTCCCCAGCTATAAGTCAGGGATAATTATTAGCGCCTACATTATAAGGTTTTTGTGAGGATTAATTGACACATGTAAAGGGCTTGGAACACTTCGGTATATGCTGAGCATTGAATAAATGCTAGCTAGTACTACTAGGTCTAAAATTAAACTCATTTCCTCTCACCCTGGCCAGTGTGGCTCAGTTGATTGGGCGTCATACCCTGCACAAGAAGGCTGCTGGTTTGATTCCCAGTCAGGGCACATGCCCAGGTGGTGGGCTGGATCCCCAGGGGGAGACATGCAGGGGGCAGCCAAAGGATGTTCCCCTCTAGATCTTTCACTTTCTCTCTCCCCTCCCCCTCTCTCTAAAAATCAGTAAAAATAATTTTATAAAACCTCATTTCCTCTCCAACTTAGACTGTCTCTTATATCCTTTTTGTTTTGTTTCATTAATCCTCACCAAAGGATATTTTTTCCTTTGCTTTTCAGAGAGTGGAAGGGAGGGAGAGAGAGAGGGATAGAGAGAGAGGAAGAGAGGGATGGAGGGAGAGAAGGGGAGGGGGAGAGAGAAACACATCGATATGAGAGACACACCAACCATTTGCCCGCTGCACATGCCCTGGTTGGGTCCAAGAGTGAACCTGCAACCCAGGTATGTGCCCTTGAATCGAACCTACAACCCTTTGGTGCATGAGCTGACACTCTAACCACTGAGAAACACCAGCCAGAGTTCTTATATTCCTGACCATGGTTTATAGAATCATGATCCAGTCAGTCTTCTAAGCTAGAAACTTCACTCCATCCTTCTTTGTGTCCTAGCACTTTGCCCATGTCTCTATTACAGCACATGTTATGAGATAACATACTTGCATGTCTGTCTCTACTAGTTTATGTTAGTCTCAACTAGATTGAAGTTGGGAATGGAAGGCAAGGGAGAAAGGG